GATTCTAATATTGTTCCTCTTGGAATCATCTGCTAGGACTCTGATTCTCTGTAGAGCCATTTTGAGGTCCCTTGCCACTGTTTGTTGTTGCGTGTTGGCTTGTTGCAGCTGATCTTCCAGCTCACTGATTCTCTCTTCAGCTGTGGTCATTCTATTTTTAAGAGAAGAAACTGAGTTTCTCATTTCATCTATGGAGTCTTTTAATCGTGACATTTCTGCTCTCATTTCTTCTCGTAATTTGTTGATTTTTTCTGTGGTATTACTGGCTGCCTGTCTGACTGTTTCATTGAGTTGATTGAACATCTTGATGACTTCGTATCTGAATTCTATGTCAGAGAGGTCCCTTAGGTGAGCTGTATTGTTGGAATGGTCTAGATTGTTTTCGTTCTTCTCCCCTTGTGTTGGAGATTTTCTTTGTTTCTTCATATTGCTGAGTAGGTTGGGAACTAGATTCCTTGGGGACTAGGTTCCTTAGTATGGGAAGACAACCTGCGGCCCCGTGAGCGTTGGCCCGCTGGAAATTAAGCCACGCCCACTTTGAGGCCACGCCCACTTTTGAGGAGGCCGCGCCTCTACAGAACCCTGGGTTTGGGATGAGATGGGCGCCGCTGTCAGGAGTGAAGAGGCCAGGGCAGACGCTCAAAACTGCTTCTCTTCAGGCATCTCGGGGGGACACCTGGGGTCCTGCAGGGAAAGATGGAAGTCCCAGGGTCGCGAGCCGGCAGCTGTGCTGACCGGGATCTAAGTTGAGATGGGCGCCGCCGTCAGGAGTGAAGAGGGCAGGGCCTAAGTCATAACTTTAAAAGATAATTCATCTTGTTATGTTCGTGGATAAAATATATGCCACAATGAACTTACTTTTTCCAGTTTTATTTTTTAAAAAATCAAAACAGTGCTGGGTAGGCTCATACCTTTGCTTTATGAATTTTTTAAAAAATTTATAGTTAACCGAGAATTTCTTATGAATAAACCCAACATGATACTACCTTAAAATCTTTCTGACATTTAGTATGGCGTAACAGAGTAACAGAAACACAGTAATACAAACCATTATCAAAAAGACAAACATTGGGGTCAGAGAGGGTAGGACATTTCCTTACTCGTAGTCAACTTCGGTTTGATCCCAAGCGCAACAACGAATTCCCTGAGCATTGCCAGGAGTAATCCCTTAGCACAGAGCTTGGAGTTAAGTTCTGAGTACCCCTGAATATGCCTCCTCCTCCTACCCACCAAAAAACCTACTCTGAATAGTTATAAAAACAATGTAGTGGAAAAACTAACTCCCAACAATTGACGAAACTGTCTGCAGCTCAAACAGAAATCTTTTATTTACAATAAAGTCATCAGTTGTTGTATAAGTCAATTTAACTGAACATCTACTTGTACTCTTCGTGGCATGATGTATCTCTGGAAACAATGATAAATCATCTGATTCATAACCAATGTGAAAAATTTAGGAAGTTTATTAATTGTGCTTTCCCCTGAGGAAAACCAAGACTTAAAATGCAATAAAATAAAGACAAGAAAACCCAATGCATGCCTTCATTAGTTTCCATGTATCCCATGTAGAATCAAAGAAAATGGGGTCAAGGACATGGGTAAGTACTAAAGTGCATGCCTGGAATACATGACACCTGGATTCTATATCCATTACCATGAAAGAAAGGAAAGAAAAAAAAGAAACAGAAAAGGGATAAAGAGAACACATACACACACGCACACACACACACACACACACACACACACATTGAAGTGTCAAATAGGTTTTGTTAGCTGACAGGTTTACCTCAGTCCAATGTAAACGTGAATCCATATGTAATACTCTATTGAGGTCCCAGTTTGAAATGTTTTACAAAATTCATCCTATATTTTGGGCGGGGCAGGGGGGCTTGCAACCACACCCAGAGATGCTCACTGGTACCTGTGGCTCTGTACTTACGAATCATTCTTACCGGTGCTTGGGGGACCATATGGGATGTTGGGGATCGAACCAGGGTCAGAACGCATGCAAGGCAAGTACCTTAGCCTCTGTACTTTATCTCCAGCGGTCAATACATTTTTATGGACTAATTGCTCACTCACCCTTTATTTTTAATTTTTTCAATGGTAAACGTAGAGAAGAAACAATGCATAGGTCTGCGTGATTAGCTTATCTTCTTGAATATCCCTTAAAAGCTCTGTCTACTAAGGTTCCAAATGCCACTGCACAAACAGACCCTTGAACTACCTAGTCATTTCCCCCCTTTAAAGAAAAACTAGCCCGAACTGGAAACACAGGAAACTTGTAGCAACTTTGGCCTCCATCTAAAAGCAAATACATAAACAGACACATTTGAGGGAAAAGAAAAACAACTTGTGGAGAAGGAGCAGAAGTTATTTTTGGGGAGGCAGAAATGGAAAACTACCTGAGAGGACCAGAGAAGTGCTGGGGCAACGGGGACTTTTTCCTGGTGTGGGAATATTGAATTCATATCTCACTGGAGGATGAATGAGCAAATTTTACCAAAATAACCTAGAATATATATACCTAAGTCACGGTAGATTAGTCCAGCACTCTTTATTTAGAACAGCATGTTTTCCTTGATTGAAATTCACCTTTCCTCTGGCAATTTTTCCCATGTTGAAATCTAATGGAGTGAAGAATTTTGTTTGTGGTCAACCTAGAAAGGTGAAGATAATTTTTAAATTTTTTAATTGTTGAAAACCTATAAAGAAAAGCATGGCGTACTGGGGAAAATAGGTCTTAATTTTTTAGCAAACTATAAATGTGAAATATTGGTTTAATTTAATCTTATAGTTTACTGGAAATGATACAAAGAAGTCAAATCGTATCTGTTATTTCGTGTTTGTTTGCTTTTGTTTGTGGGCCACACCCAGCAGTACTCAGAATTTACTCCTGGCTTTGTGCTCAAGGATCACTCCTGGTGGGCTCAGGAGACCATGTGTGGTGCCAGGGATTGAACCCAGGTGTGTTGCGTGCAAGGAAGTGCCCTGCCCTCTGCATTATCTCTCTGGCCTATTTTTTATTTCTAAAGAGACAATAAACTATGAGACTTTGGGGCCAGGGATATAGCTCAAAGGACTAACGCACATGCTTTGCTGGAGATCCCGCTAATCTTCCTGGCACCACATGGTCCCTGGAGTACCCTGGAAACAATCTCCAAGTGCCATGGTTGAAGTAACCCTGGCGTATTTGTGATGTAGCCCCAAAACAACAGAAAACCCTTGAGAATAGTTCCTGTGAGTATCTGTGACTATGTCGTGTGCCACAGAGTTTAGTACATTGTAAATATGAAGTAGTTGTTAAATGAAAACAATTAGTTACATACATCACTTATTGAAAAAATAATAAAAGATTAAAAAATTTATAACAATGTGTATAGAGGGGTATGGTGCCGCCAGCAGGTCAATCTGTACTTGTGAGGCAAGTGCATCAGCAGCCTGATGGTGCCTTCAGACCTCTAGATCAAACTGCTTAATGGCCACGATCCCAGAGACTCAGAAACAAGTCTCGGAAGCTAGTAGCTTTTGGCAGAAATGCGTCCTGTCCCCGCAGTATGTTACTGGCACTGAGCCACCCCAGGGGGGAAAGGATGCTGTTTCTCCACCTGCTCCCTCTTGGCAGCTCAGTGGCTGCCATCCTCCAGAGGCCATTGGACAGTCAGGTGTGGGCCCACAGTGATGAGACACGTGGGGCCTCACAGGATGGGGTGGAGCCGGCCCTTTCCTCCCCGCCCCAATGAGATCCCGAGTCGCCGCCCACAAACAGCCTCTCTGACTCCTGATCAAGCTGCTTAACAGCCATGATCCCAGAAACTCAGGAACAAATCTCGGAACCCAGCAGGTTTGGGCAGAAATCCCTCCAGATTTAATTGTTAAAATTTTGGAATTCCAAAATCGCACAGCCACTATTGCTTGCAGCCATGCAACATCATATGTTATTCATAAACAACAATAGAAAACAAATTCTCTACTATTGCCTTTTCAGCAGATCTGAGTGTTTGGGGTAAAATTCCAAATAATAATGGTGGGTCTGGTGTCAAAATATTGAATATGATCAAAGTAGAGAGAAAGTAATGTGGAAGTCATCTACTCCACAGGTACGAGGAGCGTTTGGGATGGGGGGTATATTGGGGTTTTTGGTGGTAGAAAATTCGGGTCTCCCAAAGAGGAATAGAAAGAGCTATGCTTGGAGTAACCCGCTTCACTCAAATGAGAGAAAGAATCCAGAGTTCTGACCTCCATCGACAATCAAAAATCAGGGATGCTGTCTCATTTGTCAAGGCATCGAAAATCAGATGGGCTGGACACGTAATGAGATTTGGAGATGGCCGCTGGACTAGAGCCATTACCGACTGGATTCCACAGGACGTGGAAAGACCACATGGCCACCCACCTACGAGATGGTCAGAATTCTTCATCAAGACCCTGAAAGATCGATTTGAGGCTCTTCATGTTCCTAGAATGAGCAGACACCATTGGGCTACACTAGCACATGACAGGGACGAATGGAGATGTTACTGGCTCCCACTCGAGCAAATCAATGAGTAACAAGATGCCAAGTGGTAAAGTGGTCAAGTGGTGGTAGAAAATGGGCACTGGTGAAGGGACGAGTGTTTCATCATTGTATGACCAAGACATCATTGTATGACCCATAAACTCTGTAACTGCCCTCACGGTGATTCGATAAATTTTTTAAAAGAAAAAAAATGGTAAGGTGGAGTTCATGACTAATTTCATCAGCCTAATAAATGGCTGAATAAATAGCAATACTCCTACAAGGGGGAATGCCCTGCCACAGAGGCAGGGTGGGACGAGGGGGATGGGGTGTGGGAGGGATGCTGGAACCCGTGGTGGTGGAGGATGGGCACTGGTGGAGGGATGGGTACTCGATCACTGTATAACTGAAACCCAAGCACAAAAATTTATAAGTCTATAACTGTACCTCATGGTGTTTCACTAATAAAAAATTTTTTTAAAAGTGTGTTTATATTTTCCAGACTTATAAGGCCTTTCTTCCTGCCATGATTAAAGCTAACCATGGTCACTTGGTCTGTATTTCAAGTGCAGCGGGAAAAATGGGTACCAGTGCATTATCAGGTGAGCGTTTTGTTTAGTTTACATTTGTGTTTACTTTCGTATTACCCTATCCATGAAATTCAATAACTAGGATTCCTCCGAGGAGAAAGTGATTGAGGAGTCTATCCCATTTAAAATAGTATCCAAGAACATCAAGTATCTAGGAATCAGCTTAACAGACATGGAGATATTTACCACGAGAATTTTAAGTGACTTAAGAAAGAGGTAGATGAATACCTTAGGAAATGGAAAAATATCCCATGCTCATGGATTGGAAGAACCAGTATTAATAAAATGACTGTTTTACCTAAGCTATTATTCAAAGCAATGCTTATCTAAATTCAGATGACATGCTTTTAGGATCTGAAAAGTCAATAATAAAGTTTGTGTGAAATCTGAGAAGACCACGAATAGCCTAAGTCATATTGAAAAATTTCATTACCTAATTTGGAACTGTATTATAAAGCTATGGTGATCAAAACTGCATGGTACTGGAATAAAGATAGGCCTTCTAATCAATGGGTCCAAACCAAATACCCAATGACAAACCCGATACATATATATATATATATATATATATATATATATACATACATACATCTATCACTATCATTATCACTATCTTCCCTTTGTTCTTCAATTTGCTCGAGCAGGCCCAGAAACATTGTGAGACCTTTTACTGTGTTTGGCATATCGAAAACATCACGGGGAGCTTGCCAGGCTTTGCCATGTGGGTGAGACACTCTCGGTAGCTTGCCAGGCTCTCCAAGAGGGGCGGAGGAATCGAACTCGGCTCGGCTGGGCTGGCTGTGTGAAGGCAAACACCCTACCCACTGTGCTATCGCTCCATCCCATATATATATACATATGTATGTATATCTGTACATGTATGTGTATATGTATATATATATAAATAATAACTTTCTATAAAGGAGCTGAGACATGGAATGGATTAATGATAGTCTCTTCGACAAATAGTGCTCTTCTTTTTGAAAAACTAAAAGAAGAATGTGCTTATTGGTTCATTTGTCTTCTTAAGATGAAAGAAACTGAAATAATTTACATCTTGTTCAATACTTAGTTTGGGAGTATAGGAGTATAGACCATAGCTACATGAATTATTATTTTTTATTAAATCATTGGGCTGGAGCGATAGCATAGCGGGCAGGGCGTTTGCCTTGCTCACAGCCAGCCCAGCCGAGCTGGGTTCAATTCCTCTGCTCCTCTCAGAGAGCCCGGCAAGCTACCAAGAGTATCTCGCTCACATGGCAAAGCCTGGCAAGCTACCCATGACATTTTCGATATGCCAAACACAGTAACAACAACTGACACAATGGAGACGTTACTGGGTCTGCTCAAGCAAATTGATGAACAATGGGAGGACAGTGCTACAATGCATTGTGAATTACAAAGTGACAGGTCATTCATGATTGATTCCAGGCACACAACGTTCCAGCACCAATTGCTTCACCAGTGTCTGCTTCCCTCCATCAATGCTCCAAATTTCCCTCCTGCCCTCTCAGCCTGTCTCTATGGCGGGCACTTTTCCCCTTCTTTTTCTCTTCTCTCTTTCCCTTTAGGTACTGGGGGTTACCGTATTCTTCTAATAGGGTATCAGGCATATCACTTTATCTCCTTTCAGCACTCCATCCTCCTCCAGAGTGACCACTTCCTGTAACATTGTCATAGTGTTCCCTGTCATAGCCTTCCCTACCTTGACCCAAAGCCAGTGGCAAGTTTTTTAACTGAATACCCGTTCTCATGCTCTTCAACTCTATTGTCTCTGGCCATCAGTTATTCCCCAGCTATGGTTCATTATATTCCACATACAAGACGGATCAGTCTGTGTCTTTCCCTCTTCCTCTGATTTCTTTCACTCAGCATGATACACTCCAGGCCCATCCACATAGCAGTAAGTTTCATTACTTCATCTTTTCTTATAGCATAGTAGTATTCTATTGGGCTGGAGCAATAGCACAGCAGGTAGGGCGTTTGCCTTGCATGCAGCCAACATGGCCAACCCGAGTTCGATTCCTCCGCCCCTCTCGGAGAGCCTGGCAAGCTGCTGAGAGTATCTCCCCCGCACAGCAAAGCCTGGCAAGCTACCCGTGATGTATTCGATATGCCAAACACAGTAACAACAAAGTCTCACGATGGAGACGTTACTGGCCCACTCGAGAAAAATCAATGAACAGCGGGAGGACAGTGACAGTATTCTATTATGTCTATTAGGATAGCAGTACTCCATTGTGTATGTCTACCACAGTTTCCTTATCCAGACGTCTTTTCTTGGACACTTAGGTTGTTTCCAGACTTTAGCTATTGTGAATAGAAATTCAATGAATATAGCAGAAGTGAATATAGACCTATGAATTATTTTAACAATTATTCTTTTTCTCCAGAGACAAGCTAGAGAAAAAGAAAGGAGGTTCATTTTTAAAAATTAAATTCCAAGAATTTAGCTTGTCAAATTTTAATACTAATACTTCCTCACTTTGTTTCAGATTATTCTGCAAGCAAATTTGCAGCTTTTGGCTTTGCAGAATCCATCTTCCTTGAATTAACAATTATATTGAAAAAGAATATTAAAACCACCATTGTTTGTCCATATTTCATTCAAACTGGAATGTTTGCGGGCTGTAAATCCAAGTAAGTAGATTCTTATGGCAATTTAGATCTTTAAAAATCACTTGATCACTTGACTTCCCGTTAATCGTTGATTTGCTAAAGTGGGCACCAGTAACATCTCCATTTGTCCCTGTCCCAAGCTAGTGTAGCCCAGTGGTGTCTGTTCATTCTAGGAACATGAAGAGCCTCAAACAGATTGTTCATGATCTTGATGAAGAAGTCTGACCATCTGGTAGGTGGGCAGCCACACAGTCTTTTGACATCCTGTGGAATCCAGTTGGTAACGGCTCTAGTCCAAAGATCGTCTCTAAATCTCATTACGTGACCAGCCCATCTGATTTTTGATGCCTTGGCAAATGAGACAGCGTCCCTGATTCTTGATCATTGACGGAGGTCAGAACTCCGGATTCTTTATCTCATTTGAGTGAAACGTGATACTCCAAGCATAGCTCTTTCAATTCCTCTTTGGGAGGCCCGAATAGCATTCTCATCCTGTTTGCTTAGGGCCCAGGTCTCTGAGGCATATGTTAATGCAGAAAGAACAGTGGAATCAAAGAGATGTGCCCGGAGCCGGAGGTTCTTCGTCCTCTTAGCTATTTCTTCGACGTTCTTGAAGGCGTTCCAAGCCGCTCTCTTCCTCCTGCGCAGCTCGGGTGCCAGGTCATTTGTCATGTTGACTTCTCGAGCTAGGTACACATAACTGTTGCATTTGGAGATGGTTGTTCCGTTGAGAGCGAATGGAGCATCAGAAAAGAGGCTGTTTCTCATAAACATTGTCTTCGTGAGATTCAGCTGTAGTCTGACCTTTCCACACTCACGGTCGAAGTCGGACAGCATTTGTGCCGCTTGGCTAATGTTTGGTGTTATTAGAACAATGTCATCAGCAAAGTGGAGGTGGTGTAGTTGCCGACCATCTATCTTCACTCCCATTCCTTCCCATTCCAGTCGTCGCATGATGTTCTCGAGGGTGGCACTGAAGAGTTTCAGTGAAATGGTATCACCCTGCCAAACCCCTCTCTTGACATAGATGATTTCTTCTTTGTAGAATGGTGAGATCCTGGTAGTGAATCCGTAATACGGCTCATGGAGGATGCTGATGTATTGAGTTTGAGTGCCCTGATTGGCTAGGGCTTCAATGACCGCTTCCGTCTCAACAGAATCAAAGGCCTTCTTTAAATCAATGAACGTTAAACAGAGCGGCATCTTGAACTCCCGAGAAACCTCAATGAGCTTGGTTATCGTGTGGATATGGTCGATGGTGCTGAATCCTTTGCGGAACCCGGCTTGCTCACATGGTTGTCCTTCATCTAGTGTTCTGCCAATCCTATTCAGGATGACTCGAGTGAACAGCTTGTAGATGACAGACTATAGGCAGATCGGGCGATAGTTGCCAATATCATGGATGTCTCCCTTCTGTACAGTAGTACAGTCCTGCTGGTTTTCCATTGGGATGGAACCTTGCATTCAGACAGGTAGCATGTGAAGAGCCGAGCAGCGTATTGATGAGTACTGACGGCAGGTTCTTCAGGTGTTCAGGTCTGACCTTGTCTGGGCCGGGTGCTGTTTGTTTATTTACTGACGAAATGGCATGTCAGATTTCGGAAGGGAGAAGATTGGGAATGACATATCCATCCTGTGGAATTTGGTATGTGGGCAGGTGGACATTGCTATCGAAGAGATCTGAGTAGAAGTCATGGATAATCTTCTCCATTGCCCTTCTGGAAGATGTGATAGATCCATCAGGACATCGGAGGGCAGTCATCTTGGTCTTGTAATTGGCGAAGGACAGGTGGGCATTACAAATACTTTTCCTGGCTTCGGTTGAATCTACCAGAACTTCTGCTCTTCCCTCTTTGAGGTCTTCTTTGATCGCATCTCTGCACTGCTTTGCGAGCTTGGACATTCGCTTGTGGTTGCTTGAGGCATGTGCCAAACCACGTTGGCAAATAAGCTCAAGAGTTTTCGAAGACAGATGTTTTTTTGTGGCTATCTCTCTTTTGGCATTCCTCACACAATCATGGAGGTGCTGAACGAGTCGATTGTATTCCTCCTCGATGTTGTCGACAATGGCATCTTCCCACGTTGCCGCAATAGTGCCAAAGAGCTCCCAGTTGGTGGTCGTTCTGGGAGTTCTCTTCTTAAACTTTGCAGCCCTTTCTCTATGAAGTAGAATTTTGCACGAAGGAGATGGTGGTCCGATCCCCTTTGGAATTTTGGGACAACAGCGACATCAGTCAGGCAAAACCGTCGATTGAATATGATGTGGTGGAACCGTCCACCGGGAGACTCCCATGTCCAACGTTTAGATTCGGCCTTCTGGAACTGTGAGTTACCATGGATGGTCTTGGTCGACATGATGAACTCAGACAGTCTCTCACCCTGTTCGTTCCATTCTAGGCCATGGGTACCGACGTGGAGTTCTTTGGCTGATCTTCTCGGTCCTATCTTGGCATTAAAATCACCCACAATGATCTTGTAGAAGGTTTGGTCTTCTTTATAGAACTTCTCCAGCTCCATGTAGAACTACTCAATTTCTCCTTCATCATAATTGGATGCTGGTGCATAGACAATGAAGATAGAAACTGCTGGCAGTGAGCCACATCTATTCAAATGTAAACATCCGATTCGGGTTGTTAGGCATTCGAATGAATCAATGCTCATGGCCAAGTTCCTCCACTACCTCCACTACAGGCATTCGAATGAATCAATGCTCATGGCCAAGTTCCTCCACTACCTCCACTACCCAGCCACTGCCACGCTCCAGGACGCTTTCTGGACCCGCGACACATTATAAGTCACTTAATACCCATCTTCCAGAATTGCCGTACCATATTCTATCTTTAAAAATAATCTTACAATATATGCAAATTAACGTGTTTTAATATTTAATTTTTGAAATGTGGGCAGATTCAAATGTGGACTATTCAAAAATAGCAACAAAAGTAGCTATTTTCCCCCTAACTTTATTTAAATTCCATGGTTTACAAAGTTGTTCATGATATAGTTGCAGGACATTCAATATTTCAGCACCAACCCCACCACCAATTCCCTCAACCATTTCCCCACTCCACAAGCCTGTCTCTTTAGCAGGTACAAAATATTTTACATTGTTTCTTACCACAAAACAATAATTGGAATTATAAAAAGACAGTGCAGCAAAAGAAAATTTGTGAAATGAAATGTTATATCTCACAGAGGCATTTTTTTTCATTTTATTGAAAGCAAAATTTTAATATAGATATTTTTCTACCTCATTTTTTTTTCATTTTATTGAATGATCATGAGATAGCTACAAGCTTTCATGTTTGGGTTATAATCACACAATGATCAAACACCCGTCCCTCCACCAGTGCACATTTCCCACACCATTATCCCTGGTATACCCCCCCTTTCCCACCCTCCACAGTGGCATTTTAAATAATCATTGTCTGAGTATTTACTGAGCTGTTAGTTGTTAGTTAAGTCTTCCATGTTATCATTTTTGCTTTTTGAGTTCAATTGGTCTCTACGCGACTTTTCCATCTAATTTGCTCTGCTCATACTGGGTTGTCCGTATTTTGGAATCTGGAGGTGTTGCAGGGCCCTGCTCCAGGTGCTGTAGAATTGGAATGATTTTCAATCGGCCCCACTCCTGAGCAGCCCTAAAATTTTCAGCCCAAAAACCTGTATGCCTTGGCATTTCATCAGCCTGGCATCTGTTCAGAGACTAGTTCTGAAGCAGTGAAATTGGGCCATGTGTATCGTAACAGCTTTGGGGTGTGGTGCAGCTTCTGGGGCTTCTGCAAGGTGGGTATTTGCATCCCCCAAAAAGTATCCCTGGAGATTTCAGTCTGAAGACTGTGAACCTGTAAGTTGTATTGACTTGGTTTGGCATCTCTTCCTAGAGTAGTCATGAAACTTTGAGGCTGGGCCATTGAAATGGTATCAGCTGTGAGATGTGAGTCTGAGTGTAATTTCTGAGCCCAGATCTCAGCTTCTAAAATATATCCTGGTTAATCTTATCAAAGGCAGTCCCACTTTAAATGAACCTTCTGATGCCAGTTGCAGGAGGTTAGACCTAGGCCCAGGAGCAATAGTACAGTGGGTGGGGCTCTTGCCTTTCACCTGGTCCGCACAGGTGTAGTCCCTGGATATATTTAGCTGGAGAGGACAGTTATGAATAGTAGAAAAGTTTTTGAAGGATGAAAGCAGAGAACTGTGTATTTGCTATCTAACTTTTTCTGACAGCCTCATGCACCCATATCCTTTCTGGGGTCCAATAGTGGGATAGTCAGTGTCACAGAATGAATGTTACTAACGGGAAGGAGGTTGCCCAGGTGTCTGTTCAAGGAAGGTAGAATATTTGATGACATTCTGTAAGCACAGGGCCCCTAGGTATATAAAGGTAAAAACAAGCACTGCACTGCACTGTCCTCCCATTGTTCATCGATTTGCTCAAGCGGGCCTAGTAACATCTCCATTGTGAAACTTATTGTTACTGTGTTTGGCATATCAAATATGTCATGGGTAGCTTGCCAGGCTTTGCCGTGTGGGAAAGATACTCTTGGTAGCTTGCCAGGCTCTCCAAGAGGGGTGGAGGAATCGAATCGGTGTCGGCTGGGCCAGCCACGCTCAAGGCAAACAGCCTACCTGCTGTGCTATCGTTTCAGCCCTGGGTCCGATTTCTGATATGGTCCCCTGAGCTTGCCAAGAGTGATCCCTGAGCACAGCCCTTGAGCACCACCTGATGTGGCCTCCCACCCTCACCCTACCCCCACTCACCCCATTCCCCACCCCCACCAAAAAAGAAAAAAAACTGTGTATTTAAAAACAAGCTCTAGAAAAAGAAAGATCAATGATCCATAAACAGTGTGAAATGAAAGAAACAGTGCTGAGTAGATTTTTTTTTAAGGCTAGTGAATGTACTGACATAACATACTATAAAAATAATCTGGATAAATGTATTAATTTTATACATTTATATAGTGAAAAATGAGTAGTACCCATAGCATAACATTGGACATGGGAGTCTCCTGGTGGACAGTTCCACAGTGAAATAGACCACATCAATAGAACAGACCATATTCAATCAACGGTTTTGCCTGACCGGTGTCGCTGCTGTCCCAAAATTCCAAACGGGATCGGACCACCTTCTCCTTCATGCAAAATTCCACTTCACAGAGAGGGGAGAAAGGGCTGCAAAGTTTAAGAAGAGAACTCCCAGAATGACCACCAACTAGTAGCTCTTTGGCACTGTTGCTGCAACATGGAAAGATGCCATTGTTGACAACAATGACGAGGAATACGATTAACTGGTTCAGCACCTCCATGATTGTGCGAGGAACAGCAAGAGAGAGATAGCCACACACACAAAAAAAATGCCTGTCTTCGAAAACTCTTGAGCTTATTCACCAACGTGGTTTGGTGCATGCCTCAGGCATCCACAAGCGAATGTCTGAGCTTGCAAAGCAGTGCAGAGATGCGATCAAGGAAGACATCAAAGAGAGAAGAGCAGAAGTGCTGGTAGATGCGGCAGAAGTCGGGAAAAGTATTCATAACGCCCACCTGTCCTTCGCCAACTACAAGACCAAGATGACTGCCCTCCGAGTCCTGATGGATCTATCACATCTTCCAGAAGGGCAATGGAGAAGATTATCCATGACTTCTACTCAGATCTCTTCGATAGCCATGTCCACCTGCCCACATACCAAATTCCACAGGATGGATAACTTGTTCTCAATGTTCTCCCTTCCGAAATCCAACACGCCATTTCGTCGGTAAAGAAACGAACAGCACCCGGCCCAGACAAAGTTAGACCTGAACACCTGAAGAACCTGCCATCAGTACTCATCAATACGCTGGCTCGGCTCTTCACAAACTACCTGTCTGAATGCAAGGTTTTGTCCCAATAAAAAACCAGCAGAACTGTACTACTGTACAAGAAGGGAGACATCCATGGCATTGGCAACTATCACCCGATCTGCCTATTTTCTGTCATCTACAAGCTGTTCAATCAAGTCATCCTGAATAGGATTGGCAGAACACTAGATGAAGGACAACCATGTGAGCAAACCAGGTTCCTCAAAGGATTCAGCACAATTGACCATATCCACATGATAACCAAGCTCAATGAGGTTTCTCGGGAGTTCAAGATACCACTCTGTCTAACGTTCATTGATTTAAAGAAGGCCTTTGATTCTGTTGAGATGGAAGCGATCATTGAAGCCCTAGCCAATCAGAGCATTCAAACTCAATACATCAGCATCCTCCGTGAGCTATATTACAAATTCACTACCAGGATCTCACCATTCTACAAAGAAGTAATCATTGATGTCAAGAGAGGGGTTCGGCAGGGTGATACCATTTCACCAAAACTCTTCAGTGCCACCCTCAAGAATGTCGTGTGACGGCTGAAATGGGAAGGAATGGGAGTGAAGATAGATGGTCGGCAACTACACCACCTCCACTTTGCTGATAACATTGTTCTAATAACACCAAACATTAGCCAAGCGGCACAAATGCTGGCGACTTCGACCGTGGGTGTGGAAAGGCTGGACTACAGTTGAATCTCACAAAGACAATGTTTATGAGAAACAGCCTCGTTCCTGAATGCTCCATTCGCTCTCAATGGAACAACCATCTCCGAATGCAACAGTTATGTGTACCTAGGTCGAGAAGTCAACATGATGAATGACCTGGCACCTGATTTGTGCAGAAGGAAGAGAGCGGCTTGCAACGTCTTCAAGAGCATTGAAGAAATAACTAAGAGGACAAAGAACCTCCGGCTCCGGGCACATCTCTTTGATTCCACTGTTCTTCCTGCATTAACATATGCCTCAGAGACCTGGGCCCTGCGCAAACAGGATGAGAACGCTATTCAGGCCTCGCAAAGAGGAATTGAAAGAGCTAGAAAGGTCAAGAATCAGGGACGCTGTCTCGTTTGCCAAGGTGTCAAAAATCAGATGGGCTGGACACGTAATGAGATTTAGAGATGGCTGCTGGACTAGAGCCGTTCACGATGGGATTCCATGGGATTTGAAAAGGCCACGTGGTCGCCCACCTACCTGATGGTCAGACTTCTTCATCAAGATCATGAATTATCCGTTTGAGGCTCTTCGTGTTCCTAGAATGAACAGATGCCCTTGGGCTACACTAGCATGGGACAGGGACAAATGGAGACGTTACTGGCGCCTGCTCGGGCAAATCGACAATTAATGGGAAGTGATCAAGTGACCCATAGCATCTGCTAGCAGCTCATCCCCTCATACAATTATGACATCTTTTATGTGGTTAGAACATTTCAGATCTAGTCTTTTGGTAACATTCAATTATCTACAGCAGTAGTTGCTAAGATCTCCAGAATTTATTAACCCTGTAACTCAGTTTTTTTCACCACTTAAGTTCCATGTCCTGATTTTCCCCTCACTCCAGCCTCTTGTCACCACTGTTCGATTATCTTTTTTCTCTGAGTCCAGTGTTTTCAGATTCCACATACAGGAGACCATTCGGCATTTATTTCTCCATTGACTTGTTTAACTTAGCATAATGCTCTTATTCATCCATGTTGCTGCAAATGACTCAATGTCAAGGTTTCTTCTGACTGAATAATATTCCTCTGAGTGTATGCACTCTGTAGTACTGTAGCACGGTCCTCCCTTTGTTCATCAATTTGCTCGAGCAGGCCCAGTAACGTCTCCATTATGAGACTTGTTGTTACTGTGTTTGGCATATTGAATACATCACGGGGAGTTTGCCAGGCTTTGCCGTGGGGGCGAGATACTCTCAGTAGCTTGATGAGCTCTCCAAGAGGGGCGGAGGAATCAAACCAGGCTCGGCTGGCTGCGCACAAGGCAAACGCCCTACCACTTTGCTATCGCTCCAGCCCGTATGCACTCTGCATATTCTTTATTCAATGAAAGAAAATTAAAGAAAATTTTAATAAGGAGTTTTCACTTTAATTCTCATCTCATTGACAGATTTAGAGGTATTTTCTGTTGCTTGGCTTTTGTGGATAATACTGCAACTGTGGTGGGAGTGAGGAGAATCTCTGTGAGATCTGATTTTCCTTCCTCCCTCCTGCTTTTCCTCCCTCTTTTCTTCTTTCCTCCCTCCCTCACATTCTGCCCCTCTCCCTCCCTCCCTCTCTCCCTTCCTTTTTCTTCTTCCGTGCTTCCCTCTTCCCTTCTCTCATTGCATGAATGACTCACACACTTGTTAGTGGTGCTCACACACTTTAGTTCAGGTTTTAGCACAGAACTTACGGTGTGTCAGATGGAGCAGCTTTTGCCGTTGTACTGCTGTGGTGGTGGCACCATGGATCACACAGCAGCAGGGCCATCAGGCTGGACGTTGGTGTGGGTCATGTCAGAAAATCCACCACTGGCATTTCCCTAGACCCCTGAGATACTGACTTAAATTCAGTAGGGGGGCGGCGGGGGCTGGGGGGAGAGGTTATATTGCCAGAAGTGGGATTTGGGGATCACAAAGTCACTGTCATTTCATTCTTTTGAGAAACCTTCAAGGGTTTTCCAAACTAGCTATAACATTAACATGCCAACAGGGCACACATCACCACCGACACTTATTGTCCCTTGTCTTTTTGAGACCAGCCACTCAAGTCAGTGTGAGCTGATGTCTCTTTGTGGGTTCACTGGGCACTTTCTTCATGATTGTCACTTGCTTAGCCATGCTGAGTGCCTCTTTATACCTACTAACCGCTTGTCTTCTTGGGGAAAATGGGTTTTAATTCATGTCGAAACTCTGTGGGCTACTTTCTGAGGAACTTTTTGGAGACTAAAATGTAAAGTCTACCAACATTCAATCATGGGAAATTAACCAGATTCAATGAGTCTAATGAATTAAAAAGAATTTTTGAGGATGTCATTCAAGTAATAATTACATTTTTTTAAATTTTTATTAGTGAAACACCATGAGGTACACTTGTAGACTTACAAACTTCTTTGCTTGGGTTTCAGTTATACAATGATCAAGTACCCATCCCTCCACCAGTGCCCATTTTCAACCACCACGGATCCCAGTATCCCTCCCACCCCCCATCCCACTCATCCCACCCTGCCTCTGTGGCAGGGCATTCCCTTTTGTTCTCTCTCTCCTCTTGGGTGTTGTGGTTTGCAAAAGAGGCATTGAGTGGCAATCATGTTTCTTCTATAGTCTACTTTCAGCATGCTTCTCCCATCCTGGGAGGATCCTCCCAATACCCTTTATTTGGTGCTCCCTTCTCTATCTGAGCTCCCTTTCCCCCTAGCATGTGTGGCTGACCTCCAAGCCATGGAGCAAAATTTACAATTACATTTTGTACGTGTCAAAGTGAAGCCTTTCAGAAGCTTTTGTATAAGTGCATCCTTTGCTACAGTTGATTTTTAAAGAGATCATTCTGCTTACTTTTAAGAATAATGGTGTAACTAAAATATATATTACTTATGCCCAAGAAATAGTTTCTGTAAGATAATTTTTCCATTTTATTTCTGAATAGTTTGCAATCATTTTAGTTTGAGATGAAAGAGGAAAAGGCAAAATACTAAGAAATCTAAAAGCAATTTCTTCTATATGTACAAGTCAACACACAGCAGAAAGTCAATAAAACCAAGGAATTCTGCCTGGGAAATAAAATGGTTTTGCACTGGTTCCAATATTGATTAGGAGAGAAAACACGAGGATTTTCTAATCTGTACATGTTGTTTGAATATTTATAGCTATATGTTGTAACTCCATGTCTAAGCCTCAGTTACTCATAATCATGTCAGCCAAAATATCCCATTGTAACAACTTACTCTGTTATTTTCATTTTAGGTATCCACTTCTGCTACCTCTACTAGAGCAAGAGGATGTGGCCCAAAAAGTTGTAAATGGTATTTTAGAGGAAAAAGTTTACATAATAATGCCCAAATTTCTGAGTTTTGCACTCCTCCTTAAACAGTAAGTTAATGACATCTTTTTCATTTATATTAGCCCGCTGTGGCTAACTCTTTTACCTAAAAAAATAACATTTTTAAAATAAATTTATTTATTGAATCACCATGAGAGCAGTTACAAAGCTTTAGGATTTAAATCTCAGTCATACAACGATCGATAGCACAGCGATGTGGATCGATGTGGAGCGATAGCACAGCGGGTAGGGCGTTCGCCTTACAAGCGGCCAACTTGGCCGACCTGAGTTCGATTCCTCCGCCCCTCTCGGAGAGCCCGGCAAGCTACCGAGAGTATACGATATGCCAGACAGAGTAACAACAAAGTCTCCAATGGAGACGTTACTGGGACCGCTCGAGCAAATCGACGATCAACGGGAGGGCCTTTACCTTTACCTTACAACGATCAAACACCCATGCCTTCACCAGTAGAATTATGATTTGAGTGTTTTGCCAGAAAAACATTAAAGACACTTGTCAAATTCTTTATAATTATTTTGGTTTGTGGGACACACTTGGAAGTACTCAGGGATTACTACTGGCTCTGCACTCAGGGATCACTCTTACTGGGGCTCAGGGAACCATATAGGAGGGTGGAGTTTGGAACAGGGTCATCCATACACAAGAAAAGCATCTTACATATTCTATCTCTCAGGCCTTCTTCTATAGTTCATATAGTGATGAGCAACTACAACTACACACTAGGCCAGGTTATGAGTTCTGACCTCTTCGTGAAATGAATTTGGTGCAGACCTAATTCTACTCCGGAGATAATGCAGAACAACTTAATATGCATCAAGTTTCTACCATGTCTGGTAACTCTGCAAATGTTTTTCAGACTTAGGCAATCTGTGACCTAAAGACAATAATGATTTTTTTTTTTGGCAGACTTAAACTGCTGTATCAAAACCAATGCATCAGAACAAAAGCTTTAACCAGAGTTTTCTATCTGAAAAACATGTTAAACTCTTCCCATCATAATATAATCTTGCCCTGTTTAGGTTACAAGCAGAGTAAAAAAACAAGCCATTTTGTTAATAAATCTCACGCTTTTTCTACTATTTATATCTTAATGTATTTTTTGGCATTTTGGGTTTGTGTGTGCATTCAGTAGATATATACAGAGGAAGATCGAAGACAGCACATTTGGTTTATTATGACCTAAAATATGGTTGATGATTTCCACATATAATATACTGGGTTTGATCCTAGACACCAAAACCAGAAGAGACAGCTGTCTCTAGCTAGGTCAAGGTCCCTAAGCAAACATGCCCCATCATGCCTACAGCCACTTTATACCATCTATCCTCCCTGCTGGGTTAATTTCTCCCTGAGGACAGACCTTTTTTTTCCTGGGTGCTTCCTTCTCCATACCCCAGGTGCAGTACAGCAACAGATACAGAACAAGCACAAAATGAATAGTTGTGAAGCTGAGTTGAGCAGAACAGAGTTGATCTCAGCAGAACCAATGGGAAGCTATGATTCCTCTATCACAGAGGTTCTCAAACTTTCTTCCTATTTGAATCACCTGGAGAACTTTGAAAATTACTGGAGCTAGAGAGATAGTAAATTCCTGGCATCTCTGTAATGTTCCTAAATACCATGTGACCACAGCAATGACATTATATCACAATAGTCTGAGAGTGAGAACCAGGCTTCAGTATCTTTAAGTTTGTTCAGGTGGTTTCAACGTGTATGTGACTTTGAGAGCCACTGATCTATCATCAAACAACTAAAGCAATGGTCCTCAGCCCACCAAAATTACCAAGGAGGCATTTACAACAACTGATGCCTGGAACTTAACCCCAAGAAATTCGGCTTCAAGGTGTATTTTGTTTTAGTTTTTGCTGCTGTTTGTTCACCTAATAAGTAAGGATGCATATGATCTTTCCAGAGAACTTAGTGAATGAATTTGTGACTGAACTGTGGCATGGTCAGTGGGAATTTCTTACTCCCCGGATTTGGACCGTGTTGAACACATGTCAACAGTTTTCTTTTCTTTTTGCCTCTCATTTAGTGAAAGGAGCACATCCTGAACCAAAGCCTCTCACACTGTCAAAAGGAATCAATGCCCCAAAAGACTACTTGATCCCTCTTAAAAGATTATGATTTTTCTTTCTCTGCTTTTCTCTAGGATAATCTCTCCAAAAATGATTATTGCCTTATGTGAATACCTCGGACTGGATGTCTGCATGACCTCTTTCACAGGAAGAAAGAATTTAGATCAAGGTCAGCTGGAAACTGAGAGGAAACAACTTTAGCCAACGACACTCCCTGCACTTACCAGCACCCCCTGCCCCACAAAGCTAAACAAGTAGGACCATTTGGACTATCTAAAACTCCTTCTAGAGCTAAAGCAGAGTTGAACGAAGATTAAGGAAGCTTTAAAATGTGCCAACCTCACCCACAAACCACCTCCGCCACCATGTAAACTATCTTTACCGGCCTTGTTCCAGAGATTTATAAATAAATCCAGAAAAAGATCAGCTAGCCGCAAAAACATCTCAGACACCAATACCTGGCTGAGACACCCAGGGCACTCTCAGAGGTAGCCGTGCTGGAACCCACCCAAATAAAAGCCCTGATAGTCACTTGATTCCACACCCCACAGCTGCTTTCACACCTCCAGCCGGACTCCCTCGTCTCAGGACTGCTACACCTCACAGCAAATTTAACTTCCAGGTTCTGTGGCTGAAAGTTCCGTGTTTTCTCAGAATCAGGATAAGCTACCTCCCTACCACTTCCCTGTACTTCTGGAAGCCCAGGCAGTCATGACCACAAATCACCTCGGCTGCCATGTAAACTCAGCAGTGAAAAATTTAATTCCAGCTGAATAGACCAGTCAAAAACTGTGAATCTCCTGGATCTACAACATTGTCAGTCCAGTGGTAACACACCAGATCGAATGAGAAGTCATCCAATCTCAACTAACAAAAACATTAACAGGAAGAAATGGATAAATTCCTATAATCTCCCAGGGCTGAACCAAGAAGATTTGGAATACCTAAATAGACCTATCATTATCAAGGAAATTAAAATGGTAATCAAAAGCCTTCTCAAAAAAACAAAAGCCCAAGTCCAGATGGATACACTAGTGATTTCTTCCAAACCTTTAAAGAGGACATATTGCCAGTCCTTTTTAAGCTTTTCCAGGAAATTGAAGAAACAGAAACACTTCCAAACAATTTCTATGAGGCACAGATTACCCTAATACCAAAAGCAGACAGAGACACCACAAAGAGAGAGAGAGAGAGAGAGAGAGAGAGAGAGAGAATTGAGAGAGAAAATTACAGGACAATAACCCCAATGAACACAGATGCAAAGATCCCCAACAAAATATTAGCAAATAGAATCCATTGACTTATCAAAAATATCATACTCTAGAACCAAATGGTATTCGTCTCTGGGATACAAGGATGGCTTAACAAGATCTCCCACCAATGTTATGTTACTCCTAATACACAACTTCATTACCCCCAACTCTCCCCACACTGTTTGGTAATCTCAGGTTTGTAATCCAAGTTCTGGTTCGAAGTCTGCCTCAAGGGCTCGGGGAAAGGGCAGCTGGGATAGAGAAAGTACCATTATGACAATGATAGTTGGAGCGGATTGGTCTACATGGGAGATGTGTGCTAAAAGTAGGCAAAGGACCAAACATGGAGGCCTCTCAATATCTGTACTGAAAACCATAATGCCCAAAACGAGAGAGAAAGGCAGAGACAGAGACAGAGACAGAGACAGATAGACAGGCAGACAGACAGACAGAAGAAAAATAGGGGATTGTGGCAGGAGGGATACAGAAGATATTGGTGGTTGGAAATGTACACTGGTGGAGGGATGGGTGTTGGAATATTGTATTACTGAAACCCAATCATGAAAGTATGAAAGATTTATAACTGTATCTCACAGTGATTCAATAAAAATAATTAAAATTTAAGACCAAAGGTACAAACTCTTATTTAAAAAAAAATTACATAGTTACTTGAATGGCACTACACCTGTCAGTGACCTGGCAAACAATGGTACCATCTGAGCCTGGAATGATTCTCCAACTATGATCACTAAACGCCATTCCAATTTTGATTTTCTTGGGTTCAAGAACTCGTGATGGCATAAACAAAAAGAAATTTAAGTAAAATAATCGTGTTTTACAACATAGTGTGTGAAAAATACCTAGAGACATTAAAAAAAAAGGCGGGGGGCGGGCAGGATATCTGGTCCACGATAGGAACTTGCCATAAAGGGGAAGAGGGAAGGCAGGCAGGGAAGAGAAGGGACCATAATGATGATGATAGTTGAAATGATCACTCTGGACAAGAACTGAGTGCTGAAACAAGGTAAAGGAATATGCATTATAGCCCTTCAGTAACAGTATTGCAAGCCACACTGCTTAAAAGGGGGGGGGGGAGAGAGAGAGAGAGAGAGAGAGAGAGAGAGAGAGAGAGAGAAGATTGTCTGCCAGAGAGGGAGGCTTCGGATGGAGACAGGGATGGCAAGAGGGAAATTGGGCATTGGTGATGGGAAATATGCACTGGTGAAGGAACGGTGTTGAAACACTGAATGACCGAAATCATTCATGAACAACTTCATAACGGTGTATCTCACGATGATTCAATAAGCATAAATAAAGGTTTGGAAGAACTCAGTAATAAACCCATCTAAGCCTGGTATTTTTCTTTTGAGTTTTATTTTTATTATTATTTCCGTTTCCTTGGTAGTAATTGATCTATTCAGAATCACAGGACAGATACAAAATGGCCTTGCTCATATGTGATATAGTAAGAAGCATAGTTTGGGACTAGCCAAAGGTCAAAAGCAACAGAATCTAACAGCTGATCAACAGAACAATTCACCAACCTGGTGAGGCGTGGGGAGTGGGTGAGGAGGAAGAGAGTAGAATGGGGGTGGAGGGAGAGAGATAAGGGACCAAGCCCTGAGACAAGAGTGGAGGGCAAAGAAGCCTTTTGTCGGGGTGGGGGTTGTTGAAATGAAACCCTGCTGTTCACTGCTGCAGATTGAAAATCACAGTGACTAAAATGAAATTGTTTTTCATTTTTTAAAGAAATTAAACTGCATTATGAATTTTGCTTATATCTCTTATTGCCTTTCGCCAAGTGGCCTCAAAGTAATATGATCAGAACTGCTGGGGAAGAAAAAAGAATAATAAGGAGGAAACCCTACATGGCTTCTCTCGTAGCTGTGGCTATAAGAAGGTGGGGCTGGGCTTGATTCTGTCCCCTCTTGGGGCTCACATGGAGGCAGGCAGGAGGCCGGAGAGAGCCAGGAAGGGACGGGGGGGGGGGGGGGTAAGGGTTGGGGGGGGGGATGCTGGGACCCGTGGGGATGGATGACGGGCACTGGTGGAGGGATGGGCACTTGATCATTGTATAACTGAAACCCAAGCACAAATTTTGTAAGCCTATAACTGTACCTCATGGTTTTTCACTAATAAAAAAAAGGAAAAAAAAAAATAAAGTAGACTGTGGACCAAAAAAAAAAAAAAAAAAGAATGAGCGGTGCTTGGGCTGTGTCACCCAAACACTTGTAGAACACGAGAATTCTCGTCATGTGCTGGTCCTGTGACTGCTGTCTCCAGCCTTGGCTCTGAGTCTGGGTTCTGGTGGACCTCAGCCAAGGTCTCCTACTCTTCCTGTTTTGAATTCATTATCTGCACACACTACCCTTTCCCCTCTTTCACATGAGGGCATGTGTACATGTTCCCTACTTCTGTCTCAGACGGCATGTTTTCCTCTGTTCAGGCACCAAACTAACATGCCTTTAATTTAGACCCACTCTTCTCTAAGAATTTTGTAGTTTCCTCCTACCAAAATCAAGACAATAACCCAAGAGAATATGCATTGGTGAAACAACTGTATTTCTGAATAATCCTCAAAGGCAGAATCTTCTCAAAAATTTTTTTCTAAACAGAAAATGTGCATATTTTAATCACTTTGTTGCTTCTAACAGTACAAAATGATGCCTGTCATTTGTGAAAAGTCTAATAATTTAGAAACTTATTTCACAGCATGGCAATTACCTCTTGGGGGCCCTGACTCATTTTGGTTTGGCTATAGGAGTAACCACAATATGCAGTTTGTTGTATGTTTGTTAAACCCATTCTTCTATGTCTTATCATCTGTAATTATACAGATGCACATAATGTTATCTTTTTTTTCCTTAAATTTTTATTAGGGAAACACCATGAGGTACAGTTGTAGACTTACAAATTTTTGTGCTTGGGTTTCAGTTATACAATGATTGAATACCCATCCCTCCACCAGTGCCCATTCTTCACCACCACCAGTCCCAGTATCCCTCCCACCCTCCTTCCCCCCCATCCCACCCTGCCTCTGTGGCAGAGCATTCCCTTTTGTTATCTCTCTCCTTTTGAGTGCTGTGGTTTGCAAAAGAGACATTGAGTGGCAATCATATTCGGTCTATAGTCTACTCTCATCACGCATTTCCCGTCCTGAGAGGAACCTCCCAACACCCTTTATTTGGTGCTCCCTTCTCTATCTGAGCTGCCTTTTTCCCTAGCTTGTGTGGCTGGCCTCCAAGCCATGGAGTAATCCTCCTGGTACTTATCTCGGCTATTCTTGGGTGTTAGTCTCCTAGTTTGTTACTTTATGTTCCCCAGATGAATGCAATCTTTCTATGTCTATCCCTCTCTTTCTGAGTCATTTCGCTTAGCATGATACTTTCCATGTAGTACCACTTGTATGTAAATTTCATGACTTCATCCTTTCTGACAGCTACATAGTGCACATAATGTAATCTTAATGTAATTTAATTATGTGTCATAATGTACCTAATGACCAATAATGTAATCTTAATCTTAACTTCAACTGCATGATTCTCTTTTTTGCTTTTTCACTTACCAATAAATAAAGATCTTTTCCTACCAATCAGTGAAGTTCTAACTTCATTCTTTACAGCACTGTAGCACTGTAACACTGTCCTCCCATTGTTCATCGATTTGTTCGAGTGGGCACCAGTAATGTCTCTACTGTGAGACTTGTTACTGTGTTTGGCATATTGAATACATCACAGGGAGCTTGCCAGGCTTTGCCGTGCAGGCGGGATACTCTCGGTAGCTTGCCGGGCTCTCCGAGAGGGATGGACAAATCAAACCCGGGTCGGCCTCGTGCAAGGCAAACGCCCTATCCGCTGTGCTATAAATGACTGTTATTCCTTATATGGTCCTGGGGTCTAAGACAACCTGCTTATCACAATATAGCCCACCTGAGAGTTGAGCTGTTTT